ACAGTGGTTAAGTGCTCGGCTGCTAACCAAAAGGTCAGTGGTTTGAAACCACCAACCGCTCCATGGGAGAAATATATAGAAGTCTGCTTCCATAAAGCTTAGTGCCTACTGCCATTAAGTCTTATTAGCCCAAAATGTTACTGGAAGCAGTAACTGATCTGCTTCCAGTAACATTTGTGGCTGATCTCAGAATTAGCTTTTCTCTACCCAGAAGGCAACTGGAAGCAGGGTACCTGATCTCATGTGAGTTCCTGCTGGTCCAGGGGTCTGGGGGCAGGGCTTTTGGAGGCCAATTTATAATTCAGCCTACCACAACTATGATGTTGGACTGGTAGTAGTCTTAGTGAAGGGAGGGAGGCCTTAAGACTCATATGGCCTCTCTGGATAGGAGAAGAGAGTACTGAGACTGCAGAAAGAAGTTTGAGGATTGAAGAACGTTTGAATGGATGATTAGAAAACTTTTGGTTTGCTCATCAGCTTTCTGGGATCAATTGAGTTTGGAGATGATGAATTCATACGGCCACCAGTCTACATGATTTTCTCCCACAGTCTGGATTTAAAAGCAGAGTTTGACTTGAAGCTCTTCTCTGTAAGCAGGGCAAAAGACCCACAGGTCAAGTGTGATGATAGGCAGGGATGGACCATGGAATATAGGACATAAACAGAATGCAGATGAAATTGGAGAGGGGAAGGGGCAGCAATTACTTATAAGGAGATGGCAGCAAGCAGAGAAAGGCATCAGTCAGAGGTTAAAGAAATAGAGCAGTGGCTCCCCAACTGTGGTCGCCAGACCAGCAGTACAAGCATAATATAGGAACTTGTTGGAAATGCAAATTCCAAGACCCACCACAGATGTACTGAATCAGAAACTGTGGGAGTAGTACTAGTAATTTGTATTTTAACAAGCACTTCACGTGATTTTGATGTACCCAAAATTTGAGAATCATTGATTTAGATTCTTCACTATAGAAGAATATGTTGACCACACAATATAGTTGCAGAGAAGATAAGTAGAAAAGTTTTGGAAGGGAGGCTAGGTAGGAAACAGAGACACATGGGAGAGGACAAATGGCCTGGAAGGCTATATTTTGTCTGCTGGGTGAGCATGACAAGGACAAGGCATGATTGAATGAACTGGCTTTAATGTTTTCAGAAAGTCCTCACAATTCCAATCTGGACTGACTGTTCAGGAGGTACTATTCCAAGAGCAAGACCAGGGACATCTACAGATGAGAGTTGGAGAAGGAGCTGACATGGTCCTGGATTGATTATTCTGTAAAGAGGGATAAATTCAATCCCTGGGAGTAAGGCAGGAAATGTGAGTAGTGTGTTACTGGGACCCTGATTGACTGCTGAAAACAACAACGGTCCTTGCTAAATGAGGAGCATTTGGTTATGAGGAAGAATCAGCTTAGTTTTGGCTCAGCAAAGAACTGACTTACTCTCGAGTCAAACTCTGGAAAAGTCTTGGGACTCTGGCAATAAGATCCAAGCAAATTAAATAGAGTATAGCCACATGCGATTTTTCATTGTCATTATAAGACAGGCACCGCCTCAAATTTTATTTGAGCCAATCATGCCAGGAGTTTTTAAACAGACCTTGTGTATGCAGCAAGGCCCAATGTGCTGTTTTACACTGTTGGGTTAACAACAATAGTAACGATGCTGAGACAAATCTTAGCATTTGCATAAAAAGGAGAAAAATAGTTGTATATGTGGTATGTAAAATATTTCTGGAAGAGTTCACCAGAAATGAAAAATACTGGTAGCCATTGTGGAAGAAACTGAGTAGCTGGGGGAGCAAAGAGAAAGGAAGATTTTTCATGATTAAACCTTATGTACGTTTTAAATTTGGACCATGTAAGTATATTACTATTCAAAAATAAAATTTAAAAATAAATATTTTTACATAAATAAAACAATCAGCTTTTATTATCCTCAACATCAGAGAAAACACAAGCCTGAAATCTGTGGGAATTAAGTAGCCTCACTGAGGAGGGGAAAAGCCAGGGAAGAGCTTCCTCATAGATTCCTAGTCCTGCCACCCTGAAGGAGGCCTTTTAAGTGAATCACAAACAGTAGTGGCCAGCTGAGAGGAGGACAATGAATCAGCTTTCCTGACTGAAATCAGCTACTGTCCAGAACTAGCACCTGGGAAGAGAAACTCCCTCTTCTGTGGGTGTGGGATCCTTACGGGAAGGCAGGTGAAATTCATAGCCGTGATGTCTCTTGGTTTCTCTCTCTCCCATGTCCTCTCTAATTTCTTCTTCCCCTTGTTCTTTGGCCAGTGTTTCATTTTTGACAAGAAAAGTCTGAACAAGTCAAGTTCTTGTCAGTCTCAGTCTGAACTCTCATTTGACTTGGAAGACTTGTGTTTTCGTTTTTTCTTCTTTTTCTTTTCTTTCTTCCTTTTCTTATGTTTCTCTTTCTTCTTCTTTTTGTTGTGTTTCTCTTTACATTCTGAGGAACTGGAGCTGCTCCCATCTTCATCGGAGGTGGAATCCTCCAGCAACTGTTTCAATTGCTGTATCCTAAACACATAAAATTGGTCAGAAAACTATGATTTTTAACTTTCAAACATTTGCTTTTTTATGATTCAAGAGCAGTGTTGAGGGAGAAAAAGTCATTACTAAACACAGTACTTATTTTTGCATATTTTCCTATTCTTATCCACATGCATGCCTACTTTACATACAAACCAGTGTTCAAGCCATTCTGTATTCTTTTCAATTTCCTAAATATTTCTGCATGTTCCTATAACCTTTATAATGATAACTTCTAACAGAAGCATGATTTCCTATACCAATTCCTCACTGCTCAATTTTATAGTAGATAATATACCTCCTTCAAAAATTATAACTCAGTGCAAACAATTTGAAAAAGCAAACAACAAACTCTTTTGTTTTTTCACCCTATCATTAGTCCTAAGGATACTATTTAGTAAAAGGTCAGGTCCTTAAAGACAATGGAGAAAATAAACTAAGTCACATGCAATATAATCAAATGTACAACAGAACCAGCCATCACAAGGAGGGTTGCCAATGTCCACTGTTGGTGTGTGTGGGCTGGGCCAAGTGCACTGCTGTAAGCTAACCCAAGGAGAACAAGGCCTACATGCTCCTTGCCACACACACTGTTCCTTCCCCATACACAGCTTCTTCACTAATTACTCTTATCCTCCAAATATTTCAAATTAGAGTACCATATTTACTGAACTATTCCAATATTGGAATGGTTGTTTCCAATTCTGTATACTGAGTACTCTTATTCTCCAAATATTTCAAATTAGAGTACCATATTTACTGAACTATTCCAATATTGGAATGGTTGTTTCAATTCTGTATAATTAAAAACTTTAAAAGTATATTGTTAGCATCAGGATGACCTCACCTTATGTCCTTTTCATGTCTTTTATTCTCTCGTATGATGTCATACATGGGATCTTCATGTGCCTGGGGGTCAGAGAAAATCGAAGTTTGGTAAGGGCTCACAGACCATTAGTTAAATAAAA